ATTTAAAAAAAACTCTATGGGAAGAATAATTTTTTGGAAAATTAATGAATTTTCGATCATTTAAATTCTGCTAAAGCTAAAATAATGTCGCCCCTAAGGAAATCCCGCTTATGTATAATAATCTATTATTATAACTTGTGTCATAATAGATTAAGGGTCGAATAGTATACCCCTGTACGACATAATTAATTTATTACATTCATAATAAGAATAGTATGATCACAGGTATAATTACTTGATGGTCTGGCAATTGATAGACGGAACAAGAAAAAAATAAAATTGTGTTTATGAGTAATTTTTTAATAAAAAAAAAACAATTTAATAGGAGACATAAATTCAAATGGTCAAAAAATCTTTTCTAAAATTATAAGAGAATCAGAGAATTAAAAAAAAAATCAAATATTAATAAAACTTATACTTAAAAGAAAGGGCAGAACGCATTCCGTAAACGGATTAACGTCAACAACGAAGAACCGCAATTCTAGTATATCCCAAGCTAAGAAACCATTAGTAATGAAGTCGTAACTCAAAGTATACTTAAACATAGAAAGTGAGTACAGTGCCACATAGTAAAAAACCATTGCCATTTATTGCTTTAGGGTGCCTTGTTAACTAATAAAATCAAATTAATTAGTATCTTTAAGGTGAATCTCATATATATATATATATAATGCCCTGAACATTAATATTATAATTCTATTCGTGTCATGTTGAATCTATTTTCTGTTGAATTATGCTTTCTTTTTAACATATCTATCTACCACATTCTATCTATTCTTTTTGATAGACGATACAATCAATAAAACTTAAATACTACTAATAATATTAAGTGATTCTAATGTAACAACATCATTTAATTAGTTTTAAAGTAATTTGCACAAACAAATTTTTCAGTCCCCTTCCAAACGAAAAAAATTATATTATCATCATATAATTATTTTTACTATAAGGGTATGACACTCATCCTCAATTTTCTTTGTTATTTTGATTTTATTATTATAAATTATACAATAATTTTAAAACAATGATTTATATACGAACATATACGTTTAGAACTCTAAACCTAAAATATTATTCAAAACAGTTATGAATTATAATTTTTTTTTTTTAATGTTCTTAGCATCGACAACTACGGCCATTAGCTATAAGTGTTTACAATATATTTTTTGCATTTTGCATTTCTTTTAAGTAAAAAAGGTTTTATTGATTGTTTTATTTCATGCAGTTTGGATGTTCCATTTTGCCATCATAATTGCCATTTTTTTGTTGCGTTTTCTTTTATCATGCATATCATGTCTTTTTTTGTGAGTTGTTTAAATATTGTTGCGCTTGTAAATTATAATTTTGTTTTTGCTAATAAAAACATTATTGTAAATATGTAGATTTCAAAATTTAAATGAAAACTGATAAAATTAACGAGTTTTAAATACTTAACTAAATAAGTAACATGTTACTTTAATTAAAAACATTTTAATTTAAAAATATTTTTGAATAACCTTATCTTTTTTTTTTAACTATTTCATCGATGTAGCAAAATTGCATAGTCAGTGTACGTTCAATTGTTTGTTATGTCAATTGTTCCAACTTTTTGTTGCACACCGATTTTCTGTTTAATGCCCCAAATGAAAAAAATCTACTTATTGTAAATTATATGAAACCAAATAACTCTTTCTAAACTTTGATTTTAATATCTTCAAACAAAAATAAATACGTCATATTAAGTGTAACAACATTGTATAAGTGAGAAATTGAATTTTTCCTTCTTGTTTTTATATATGATAAAACCCTTATCACTTACGTAAAGAAAATTTTAATAAATTCTTAAGCATACACTAAACAAGGCAAATCAATTAATACTCAATTTGAATTTTTAAAATCTGTAGTTCCTTATAGTTCAGATTATGAAGTAAATAATATTTATTGAAATAAAAGTACTTGTTATATTGTAAGGTATACCTTCTAAGTCGATAATGGGAACCTGACAATGTTTCAAAAATAATCCATAAAAGCCCACTTATTGTTTTAAATTAAGAAGGGTCGAGATATCGTTTAAGTTTTAAATAGAAGTATACCCTTACAATTTACAAACTTCAGATTATATTAAAATTAAAAAATTAAAAAATTATATTTTTATAGTTCAATTTAAAACAAAGCACTTTTTTAAATATTCTATTTCTCTATAATTCTTTAATATATAATATATAATATGTAATATATACACCATAATACAAATACTGTGTACATGTTAAACAAAAGAGTATCTGTGATGCGGGTAATTAGTTAAAGGAATAACAAAATTCAACAACAAAACTTATTCATTAATTAAAGTAAATATGCGAGTTCAGTGGAGCAACAATTATCTTTAATAAAAATTACTTATCTTTAGAAGTGCAAGCTCAAAACTTTACCGGTAATTATTAGGCCTAACATAATAATAAATCTGTCTTAATAGGGTCCAGTTAGAGTATAATAAAAAAACATACATTAACGATAAATTTATATTTTTTATTTCTAGTTAATTTTCTAAAACTATTCAGTTATTTAATTTTTTATGTTTTAATTTTAAACTACTTAAAATCGACAAGTAAATTAGAGATTGAGAATGCTCAGATGGATGAGTGTAGTAACGAGAGAAGATAAGATAAGGAATGAATATGTAGCAGAAAACATAGGGGTAATGTTTATTGTGGATAAGACGAGAGGATATAAGCTTAGATGATTTGATCATATTATGAGAGAATTGTAAGAACGATTATGGAAATGAATTTTAAATGAGTTATAATCCCTTATGACTCTAATTTCATTAAACAAATTAATTATGGGTTAAAGCTTTTTTATGTGAAACAAAATCTAGTTTTATATCATAAGTATTTACAATACGACGGATGCGTTACATTCTGCTTTTTGATATGAAAACTAACGGGATTATTATACTTGTATATTGTATAGCTTAATAATACCTCAAACTAAAATTAATACTGTTGTAATAATAATTTCAGTAAAACTTAGCACAAGTATAAACATAATCTTTTTTTAAAAAACATTATTTCGAAATAAAGTTTCAATACTTCACTTTCTAAATTACTTAATAACGAAATTGATGATTCTTTATTATTAACTCACTTAAATTTGGAAGTTTATAACCATAACACTCGTAAATATAATATTTTTATAATCCACATTTTTCTCAAAAATATATGTTACACAACATTATTAATATTTTAATTAACCATATCAATTTATACAAAAAACCATTTTTAATGTATATAAATACTTGCAAAAAGCATACTTATTTTCAAATTTCATTAAAAATATTATTTAATTTCTTCGCCTATCAATTAACAAGAGAATGTTTGGCTCTAATAGTAAACGAGCATGTTTAAAATCAATTGAGCTTATACTTATTTCGGCAATGATTTTTCGTGGTAATACTCTCGAGGCGTTACCTTCTAAATTTAATGTATATACTAAAATGATTTTTTAGCTATTGTACGTAATAATTTGACGTAAATTGACATTTTTAGATTTTTTAAAACGAAAATCACATTATTGTCACAAAAATATTTTATTTTATAATTAAGTAAAGAATTCATTTTGCATTATTCACAATTAATAAAATTCTGTTTTACAAATAGTAATTATTAGACACGAAAATTGTAAACTTATTTATGGATTTCTGATTATATTTTGTATAAATTACCAAATAAGTAGTACTAAAATCAATTTTGTTGGCAGAAATAACACGTTTAGTGCTGTTGGAAGCTATAATAGCAAACGAAAGAAATATAATGTCGTAAACACTATACGGATATGATCCTGTAAATGGGGCGTTTAGCAAAAACATGAATCTGCATCCCATTATTAAAATCATAATCTCATGAGCACAATAAAAGGTTCTTATTCAACGCTTCATTGCATAGCATTGTTTTGAAGAAAACTGGCAGTATCACCTCTGCAACCGCACCCAGGAAGATTTTCGAAACAACCATTAGATAAGACTTTTGACTTGGACACTGAGACGATATTTATCCTCTTGTATAATTTATAATTCCCTTGTATACAACACTATTCAAAAGTTACCCAAAAGATAGTAATAATACAGAAAGCTTGTGACATGTATTGTAAGAAACTATAGTTAAACTGTCACCAAAATTATAACCTCAAAACTACACAAAACTATCCTTTTTGCACGTGTATACGGAGGGGTTTACTGAAAAACTTATTCGCCTACTTAATCAACAATAGCATTTTTCAAAAACTTTCCACGCAAAAACTGTTCTAATTTTTTTTTTTTAATACAAAACATACATTACAAAACGTGATAAAAATCTATGTATTCAGAATGTCAAAATAGTACTTAAATTCCGCCTGTTTGTAACATATATAGCTATATATCATCAGTTTCAGTACTTAGTTTTTACTGTCCGGCTTTCTGTATCAAGTCAAGAGCTTGTTCATTTCTTTTGACACCCTTTACATTTACCTACTTTAATACTTTTTATTTAAAAGTATTTAGGTCTTGCACTTCATCTACATCTCATACCTAGGTGTTACCCTTATTCCCTTCCTAAAACAACGGCCTTCGACATCCACAATTAATACGGAAGATCACCATCATTATAATCTTCTCATTATCAACACATCCAAATATTCTATAGTGGTTTATTTGTTTTGTACTACGACAATATGTACAACACATTATTACACACTATTGTTTTTTTTTTTTTATTATAAAATTATAAATGTTCAATAAAAAAAATCTCATGGAAAACACGTTAATGCCATATTTCATTTAAACAACTTTTTTCTTTTATAAAAATAAATATTTTTCGTATTTAAATTTACGTGTACCTATTTTTAACATATGACTTAAAATTATAAAAATGACTTAAAAAAGAAGAATTAATTAAAACATAGTAAATACTTAATTAAATCAACTAATATCATTTTTATTAATACATTAATATTATTAAAACTTAGCTTATTGTTTTTATTTTCAGGTAATGTTTGGGATTATATGGAGGTATGCCTCATGGTTGCCCGTGGATACTGTATTTATTTAGATGGGCTATATTATCTGGTTGTGTAGCCAGACCACTGAGTACTGATCTCGGGGTAATTGATAAAAGAAAATCAACAATGATCGAAGGTAAAAAAACCTCTATATTGCTTTAAAGTAGGTATAGTACTGAACATTTTTAATTAAAATAAATCGTATTTAGTAAAAAATCTTTAATCTTTGCAAGACTAATGAAAAAAACATGTGCAGAAATACAACACATTTGTCTTCTTTTTCCTCGCCTTTATCCCTACTACTTAAGATTGACCACCCTTATCCTAAACTTCCACTTGACACGATCTCCCACATCAGCTATTCTCATATTGCATTCAATAACATCACTCCATCTTTTTTTCGATCTCCCTCTAATTCTTATTCATTCAAAATTAATTTCCATAACTGTTTTTACAGCTTCCGATTTCTCTCTCCTCATAGCATGACAGAACCATTTAAGTCTATGTTCTCTCATCTTGTCCGCGATTGACGCTACATCTATACTCCCTCTTATATGTTCATTACTTATCCTATCTTCTGTAATCACGTCACTCATCCATCTAAGCATTCTCATCTCTACTTTATTCTCTTGTCCACCGCCCAACACTCTGAACCATACATTACAAGTGGTCTCACTACAGTCTTATAGAACTTACATTTCAGCCTCATTGGAATTCTCTTAACGCATAACACACCAGACGTTTCTATCCACTACACTCATCCCANCACTACAGTCTTATAGAACTTACATTTCAGCCTCATTGGAATTCTCTTAACGCATAACACACCAGACGTTTCTATCCACTACATCTCATTTGGCCCTGTGTCTTAAATCCTCGTCAATGCCACCGTTCTTTTTCACAATTAATTCTAAATACTTAAAAATGTCCACCTCTCCTATCACGTCCTCGTTTATTGTCACTGATCTCCTCATTTCACCTACCTCGTGTTCTCCTTTGTGTCAAACTCTTACTCAATGTATTCTGTCTACTCCTACTTATTCTTAATCTCTTTCCTTTATGAAATGCATCCTCCGCACCTCTAGTCTTTGATTAATTTCCTCCCTATTTTCTCTAATTAACATTATGTTGTCAATGAACAATATGCACCACGATACCACTCCTTGTATTTCTCTTGTAACTTCGTCCATCACAATAGAAAATAAGTAAGGATTGAAAGCAGAGCCTTGGTGCATTCCCACTCTTACTCTAAAATCTTCTTATACTCTGTCCACAATTTTTACTCTTAAACACAACACATTTATAGTTTTAAAAATAAAGCTTTGTACAAATATACTTTATTCATCGGAACTAGAAAAGCTATAACACGAATAGAACATTAAGTCGGGACGACCTACTCATTATTTTGTGCATAATAAAAAAGTTAGTAAGAGTATAATCGAAAATTTTCAAGTTAGTCATGATTTAAAACTATCTTTCATATCATTTGATAGGAACTTTCTCTACCTTTCCTCTATTTACGATACTAAATTGATTAATATACTTAATTGACTTAACTCAATTCGTAGTTAAATAAATATATAAACCAATTAAAAAATGTATATATTTTGGTTAATATTTATTAACATTTAATATAACTTTTTATTTACAATTGATTTACAGAATTTCATAAGTAAAATTGTTATATCTCTATATTATTTCTTTCTTTTTTAGAAACTTTAACATGTTACACTTGTATTAATGTTTCGGACAATTTAACGTGTAACCAATATGCTATCGATAGGCCTTGTGCACCAGGTAATATTTCATATTAAATTTCATTACTTATAGAATAATAATTCTTTTCTTTGTAGATTTAGATTTCTGTCAGACTTTACATATAATGGACTCCACCGGATCGAGCGTTATAGTTAACAAAAAATGTGCAAATAAATCAGAATGTCATTCATCCACTGTCGGTTGTCTTCATATAGACACTCAAATGGTAAATAAAAATATATAATGATAAATTGAAATACTTGTGAATATTATACATATATACAAAAAAAAATTTTAAATAAAAAAGATCATACAGAACGTAGAATGAGATAAACCAACCAAAAATGTAGTAATTTAAGTTTACTTATTTATTTCATAATATGAAATAAATATTATGAATAATGGCAACAAATCTCAAAAGATAAGTTCACTAAAAAGAACAAAGCAAAATAATTAATAATTTTTTAAGCACAACTTTGTTTTAGTTATTACACCAAAACATAAACTATACCTATTGATTTTATTCGTAAAGATTATGAAGTCAATTAAAGATAATTTAATTAAAAATATCAATACCAATCTATATGTTACAGGTTTGCGTTTCCTGTTGCGATGGAATGTATTGTAACATGACAGTGCCAACAAACCAAACAAATGCAGTTGTGACTATATCACGTAAGGGACACATGACTTCACCCAAAGATTCAGAGACAACGGCAAGTGGAGTACCGAAATATACAATTTCTCATTTATACATTATATTAATGCTCTTAATATCCTTCCTATGTTGTTAATTAGTTTTAATAAATTAATTTTTAAGTTTGCTGTTTTTAAAAAAATGTAATTTTAATATTTTTAATTACACAAAGTTAAATATAGCTATTGTACAAGCCTAAGAATGAACTATTAGACGAATTATACCATTCATCTTCTAAAATTGTGTATGCTAGATATATTTTTATCATTGCCTAGTCATTAACATTGATAACTCAATTAAAAAAGGAGGTTAGTTAAGAAAATTCAAATGTTAAATATTAAAAATTAGTTCCAATTTTTAAATTTTATGAAGACATTGAAAAATATCATTTTTGCTAAGTGTCTCACATTTTTTATACTGCGTTGGAAATGTTAAAATTTTGTTAGAAACAAAAATAATGTTTTAGAGTAATATTCAATTGGTGAACACATTAATTGCATCAATATTTAGCCAAGAATAAAATATAATGAATTTAAATAGATTAAATTTAATTAGTTTCTTTAATATGAATTTATTTCCAAATATAAAAGTTGATCACAATTTTTTTTTAATTTAACACTAGATTTATTGCAAACAAATTAATTGAGAANCAATTGGTGAACACATTAATTGCATCAATATTTAGCCAAGAATAAAATATAATGAATTTAAATAGATTAAATTTAATTAGTTTTTATTAAAAACTTTTTAATAGAAGTATTGGGAAGCACATTAACATAAATTATTATGAGCTATACGTACGAAATTAAATTTTCAATGTATCATCATTAATATTGAAAATACTGTTTTATCAAATATTTAGTACAAATTTTGTCTAGATTAATGGAACACTACTTTTAATAAGAATTAATACATAAAAACTAATTAGTTATGTAATAAAAATTGATCAATAATGAATAATGTTTAAAATATCAATTTAAAATTAAATAATATAAAAATTAGTTTAAAAAAAATAGCGTGTCGTAAGAATTTTGAGAACAACGTTATCATGAACGCTAAACAAATACTGACACCCTGACTGAAAAATCTCTCTTACATTCCCCTAGTGATCTTATCAGATATAGACTATAAGATATAACAAAGTGATAACATCACTTAGACGATTGTTACATTGCTAGTTTACACAAATTTAATAATGAATTTTGCAAAATCACAGTTAATTTAATTATCCTTGTTTTTAAATATTTCTAATATCTCCCTCGTATTAAGTTCTTTGTATTTATTTATGATTTTAATGTAGTAAATATATGTAAATAAAGTTTAGCCACAGGAGATTTATCAATTTCTTGATTTTTAATGTTTCACTAGTGTTTTTTAAGTCTGACTCCTATGTTTCTTTTTGTTTGCCCTACGTAACATTCATGAGCACCCGCTGGGGGGGGAAGAGGGGGCGTTTACCCCTCCCTGAACTTTGGAAATACATTTTTAAAAATTATAACCAATCTGATTTAAATTTGTATATTCTGAAAATTTTATTTATAAAACAAAAATATCTAATAGGATTTCTAGATGTATTTATTTTTATTGACTTAATGGGTTTTATCGTCATATGCCGTTACATTATTGTTTATTTAGTGATGACTCCTGAATATATATAATAATTATATATATATATATATTTTTTGCAATTTTCAGTTAATAAACACTTTATTTAATGTTACTTTTTGGTATTTAATTTTTTTTGCCCCCCCCCCCCTGATAAATTTCCTGCGGGCGACAATGGTAGCATTTATTGGAACTTTCTAATAGTATTTTATAAATGTTAAATTTTTCCCTATTTTGCAGTACTTTTTTTTGATTTTTATACTTTGAAATAATTTTTAATTTTTAGAAAAAATTCAAACAGAATATGTAACGTTGGATAAATCAAACAAAAATGTAATATATGATTAATTATGCATTAAAATATGATTAATGAGACCAGCTCAATTTATTAAACTAAATATATCATGAGAGACAAGTTCACTAATAAAAACGAAGCAACATAATAATATAAATTTAACAGCCAATAGTTAATCGAAACTATATTAACTATAGTGAATAAATAAAAATGCTTAATATTTGAACAACATGTAGTACTATTTGTAATGACTAATCATACTGTCAAATGACATTTCTAAGTGGACACTCCATTGGTTCATTCTTATGGTCTAGTATTCAAAACTTTTTTGGTTTTCATATGTATAAGAAAAATAATAACTGTAATTGAAATTCATTGTACAATTAATTTTAACTGTATATTGTAGATAATTAATCATTTATATGACTATTAACATTGTCATACCATTAAAATATCTTGTTATTTGTGAAAAACACTATATTTGTTCAACTTCACTACAAAAAAAGGTTGAGTTTTTTTTTTTTTTAATAGCGTTTATAAAATAATAATTAGCTAAACAATTATAAGTAAAAAGTATAACAGTCACAATACTATGTTATAACGGTACAACAAATATGGTAATAATTGTTAGTATACTCAAAATTAGCAAACATTAAACATTATTTAAAATCATTGTTAACAGAGCCTTTAATGTCAAAGTGAAAAATTATTAAATTAAAATTTTTAATTGAAAGAAATGAAGAGAGAAAAAAAATAGGTAAATGAATAACTAAAAAATAATAAAATAATTAAAGATTAAATAACAAAGACGAAACTCCTCAAAAAAGATATAATGGAAATAATTATAATGGAAGAACGGGAATTAAGAGTATTAGCTATGGAAATGGGATTAATATTGTGGGAGGCTAAGAGGCTAAATAGTTTATTTCTGCTGCTAATTAGGGCAGGACAATCAAAGAGAAGATGAAGAAAATCACATAGAGCTTCACTATTATGTAAACAGGGAAAAGAAGGAAACGGAATTTAAGTAAAGACGGAATGCATGGTAAGGAAGAAGATTATGACCTAACCTAAGTCTTGAGTAATGAGCAATGATATTTCTGGATAAGTCAACGTTATGAAACCATGGAAAATAAAAAATGGAAAGAGATATCGAGCGATTCCAACATACCGTTTTCAATTTTATTGAACTATCAACTATCTTGCCAGACTTTGTGGAGACCGTAAATGTGCCAAAAAAGCAAAACAATGGTTTCAAAACTGATAAAAACTATGACTAAACGGAAAATTACTCTAAAAATAGGCGGGTAACTACAAACGTACGTAAGATAAACACGTCTACACAATACGACCGATAAATCGTAACTGAAGGTTGACAGTTAAATATATACTTAAATATTAAAAAATTGAGTTATACATAAAAGCAAAAAAAAATTAATAGTTGTTGTAAGTGTGTTTGTAACATATACAATTGTGGGCGTAGATATTCACCTAGAACTAGTGAAGCGTTGATTTTAATTATATTTACAGAATATAAATATTACTAGTTTATAGCGTTAATATAATTAACGACTAGTTTAAATGTAAACTAATCTAAACACGTTAAAATCAAGAGATTTTTGATATATATAACTTACATTGAATTTAAATTTAAATTTATTTTGAATATTTTGCCTCCCTAAGTTTAGAAAAATGACTGTATTTTTGAATTAGTTTTTCAGGAGTCGAATATAGGCAATTTTGCGATTTCTACATGTTACACTGTGTCGTTGTGTGAAAAAGAAATGATTATTATTAGTGTGAGTGTCCATTATTGGTAGTATTTTCGTCGTGTAATAGTTGATAACAAAACCGATTGTGTACCTGCATTACTTTTTGATGCAATACGATTATATTGATAACTACGCACGTTTATTTATGTATGTTTAAAGCACATCAAACTAAAAAGTTAAAAATACTTTTTAAAATAAGATTAAAAGAAAAATGAAAGAAAAATACAAGTATTATTGTGATAAAAGCGTCGGGCGCTCAATATACGAAAAGTATGGCACAAAGCACCCACGCTTTTATAACAATAATACTAGTATTTTTTTTTCACTATTGTTTTAAGCTTATTTTAAAAATTATTATTAACTTTTTAGTTTGATGTTATGATAGTAGTTACAATCAATATCATGGTTGTAACGGTAATGGAAATACAGTAATACATAATTAGACATCAACAATATTGTCTGAATTAGAAAAAAGTACAATAAATCGGTGCATTATAGAATGTTTTGTAATGATTTACCATATCATTATTGAACCTAAACTGTTGCGAGCGCGTGTTCTGTAGTGCCAAAAACCAAACGATAATACCTCATTTATAAATAAACTTTTAGTTTTGAATTGGGATTAGAAGTTTAAAAAATGTTGTTTGACAAGTACAATTTTATTTTTATGCTGTATAATGATATATGAACATCTAACACAAAAATACTTCAATTGACTAAATAAATACGACTAAATAATAATAAAACAAATATACATAAATAATAATTTTACATATATTATTAATAAATGTAAATACTCTATACATATAAATTAAAAGGAATAATGGTATAAAGCTTATAGGAGTAAGTTATTTTTTTGNATAAGGCTTATAGGAGTAAGTTATTTTTTTTTTTAATTACGATTTTTATGATGTTGCTCACACGATTAATTTTCTTTTTTATGTTAATATGTCTTACTAGTAGCATATTTAGACGGCGTAAAATAAAACCAGAGCCGGAGCCAGAACCAGAACCAGTACGACAACCAATAGCAAATCCTGACGTAGTTACTGAGTTTAATAGAATTATTAATTCTACAGGGTGGATTAATATAGATGGTATTAGATTTATAGATGAAGTGGGAGATTATGTACCAATCGATTTATTCGTCCATGCATTTCCTTCTAACAATGCTGTCAATAAAATCTATTTTGAAGCAAGATCAAAGTATGCTTCCTTGGTATTAAGTCGAATTTACATAGATATGCTAAATCATTTACGTGAATACTATAGAGATATGACTNCTAAATCATTTACGTGGTTACTATAGAGATATGACATACAATTATAAAAATTACCCAGATGAGGAATCTAAATTGACGAATTTGAAAAAATTAATCGAAATGTTTTCTACGTTTAAACCACTAATGTCTTGTATGATTAATGCATTAAATTATTTTGAATGTAATAATGAGAATTTTGCATTCGATATTCTCCGCGAATCATTATTATTAACTAACGAACTGACTACTAATAACAACTTTCATAATTCAGACAACACTCTAAATTATGAATTTATAAATAGAACA